AGAACTGGTATTCCCATTCTCCAGTGAAATACTTTGCAACTATATTGTACTTTTGAATCACGGATCTGTGAACTGTCACCTATTTTTCCCTACACAACTACGGATTTTCATTAGAGAATTACCAAAATATCCATCCCCCTGGACTTGAGGGATTCATTCTAAGACTGAGCAACATATTTTTCTCCCTGATAATTACAGACATACTATCCTAAACTTGAAAGCCTTGTTTATTTTCTTTTCATGAGATAACTGATAGAGATATTTCAGTACAAATTCAAAATTGTATTTTGTACCATTTATAAGACGACACTTTTTTTTGGTGCAAGCACTTAATTAAGTTGGGATCTAGCAACTTAAACATTTCCTTATTTCATTTCTGAAAGGAAACTAGGTAAAACCAACTTTCAGTTACATACCACTTTTTAGGTTCTCAATCAGCTTTCATAGATTTTCTCACTTTCAGGAAAGACTGTGACCAATTTTAAATAATTTGAAAATCTTCCCCATTATTGTTGTATTTATAAACCAATGTATATCTTAAAATATTCCAAATAGATGCATTCCACAAAAAGTACAAGGATAAGTTTATCCACATATTTTAGTGTAAATTTATCAAGAATTAAAGGAAAATATTAATGGCAATAAAATATAACATTTAAATATTCAACAATGTAGCTATGTTTATATCCAAAATTATGACATATCACAAATATGAACATCCAATAAGGAGCCTATAAGTAACAAATACACAATTTCAACAAAAAATTACACTTTCTCTTCGTTATTGACATGGCCTTACTTAAAAAGATTTGGTGATTAGGCATAGGAAATTAAAATAAATGCTATGATAATATGAAAATAACTTCATCCAATACTTATAAAAAATTAGACCTCATTGTTAATGATACTAATTAAAAATAATTATTCAGCTTTCACATTATTTCATTAGAGTATACTACTCACACATAAATTAGTAAATACTGATTCATAAACTAAATTTTCTAAATCAAAATCAAAGCTTGATTGGCTGAAATGTAGTTTAGCATAGTATGTCAGAAGTATGGACTCTGAGGGAGTTAGACTTCCTGGCTTAAATATAAGGTTTTGCCACTTACTCTAATGGCAAGTTTTTGTAAGTTATTTACTTTTGTGTCTCAATTTCCTCATCTAATCTTTAAAAGGGGAATAATAGGATCTACCTCACCAGGTTGTGTGAAGGTTACATGAAACAGTACATGGAAGTAGTTAAGCAGTGCCAGCATTCACTATTGTCAGTAGTATTAAAGCACTTCTGAACTTGGAATGAATTGTTAGCACTATTTACCTTTTAAGAATTCTTCTCCAATTTCCTAAAAAGCTTAAATGCACCAAGAAAACAATATTTGAAGGAATGCTGTGTCAGCTGAATAAACATCTAATATTTACACATATGTTTACGTATCAGATCTCTTTAAAGTCAGATTAACATGAGGCTAGAACTGGGAACATGACTCTTTCACAGCTCCTAACTTCAAAATGCTAAATTATAGCCAAATGATGCCATTTCACATAGACATCTATGCCCTCACCTAATGCAGCAATGAATGAATAGTTGTTGCTAAGTGCCCCCAAAAACTCCTAGGAAAAGAAGCAAATCTTACTGAAAAAATTATTAGTTCAGTTTTGGACATATTAAGTTTGAGGTGCTCATAGAATACTGGAGGGCGTTCCGGGAAGAAGTCAGAAGTAGAAACCTCAGGAAGCTTATTCTCAGAAGTTCATCACTCTTTGTACTACCATGGAATTAATTTTTCATGTCCTATTACCTGATAGTTATGTGTCTCCACAAACCTCTATGGCTACACTAAGTCGAAGGCTTAGTCGAAGGTCCTGCCATGTAAGGGGTCAATAAATGTTGATTTCTTTAAAAATAAAAGAGTTGCAGAACTATACACTTAAGAGAGTAAATTTTATCATATACTAAAAAAGCTAAAACAATTTCTTTTCAATCTGTGAATTTTAAATAAGGATGAAATTTTCATTTTGAAGAATTCTTACAAAATAAAGTAAGTACCTACAATGTGGATTTGAAGAGATTTCACTTTGTAATTTACAGAGTTAAGTAAATTACTTGAGTTCAGTGAGTTAAAAATGAAAAGCCTCTGGACCCTCCCAGCACATATTATTCAAAGAGCTGTGATAAGAAGCATGTAGCAAACGTGCTGAGTTATTTGCTCTAGGTAAGGGAAAGCTGCTATCATCCCCCATGCACCAGCAACCGTCTGCTAATCCTTTAGTTTAAAATCTACAGAAACACCTCCTAAAGAATGCTTCACTGTACTATTCACAAGCCAAACTTAAAATATGGTCCATTCTATCAAGGCTCTAACAGTAGTACAGATCAGCTAGCCGCCAGCTCTGTATTTAACAGCAGATCATGACAATTTCATTTGTGCTTGACAACTAGACGCCTTTCATTGAAACTATCCCCTGGAAATGACACTAAATATTGTTACTTATTTAGAGGGCAGGGAGCCAGGAGAAAAAGAGCCATTTGTGGTGAATGGGTGTGAAAGACAGTAACAGTAGAGGATTAAAAAATGGTAACACAATATAAACAGGCTTAACAGAACTGTGAGATGGGGATACACAGAATGGAATTTCTACAACATAAAATAAACACGAAGATTTAATCCTGCACTTCTCATCAGAAATAAGCAAGAATAAATATATACTGCTTCTTATATAATCAAAAGCCTGAAAACCTCATACTGATATTGGTAAATTTAAAAGGATTCCCCCAATTTGGGCCTTTTTTTCCTGTTCTATGAAGCAATTCATAAGGGGAAAAAAATAACTTCAGACTATAAATGATGAATGTAACTATTAGGAGTAGCCTCTCTAAGAGGTCTGAAATAGAAGGAAAATGTACATTTCTTCCAAAACTGTAGCCAACAATAACTTTTGCATTCTGAATCCAGCTTAAGCATATTAGTTGAGAAGATTTTTGCAAAAGTATTTAATAAGAAAGTGCTGAATTTAGCTTTTATTTTTTTCTGTTTTCTTAAGTGGCCTGCAGTCTATCAAATGAACTAAGAACCTCCCCTAAGTGTAAATGACCAAAAGGAAATAAAGCTTTCCCCTTATAGAAAGCTATTTCTATAGATCAGGTAAACCTTTTCTGTAAATGGCCACAGAATAAGTATCAGCTTTACAGGCCATATGGTCTCTGTCACAAAAACTCAGCTCTGTCGTGTAGCATGAAAGTAGCGACAGGCAACAGATAAAATGAGTATGGATGGGGTCCGATAAAACCTCATTTTCAACAACAGACAGCCGGTCCATGGGACCATGACCATAGTTTGCTGACCTATGCTATAGACCTTGTTTTTTTACCTACGACAAATATATTGTTTTAATAAACACCACCAACTTTGAAATATGATGTCTGTGATTTGCTTTAAAATATTTCATAAAAGAAAAGCGGAGAGTAGGTTAAATGAGACTAGCAAAACACAATTATTGTTAAGGTTGGATGATGGATGCATGGAGTTCATTATCCTATTCTCTGTAATTTCATGAGTTTGAAATTAAAAGCTTTTAAAAATACAAAGTAAATCAATGAACCAGCTCTACATGAAAATGAATTTCTTCACTTTAATGTAAACCTTCTAAAGCACATTTATTATTTTGAAATATAATTAACATTATGCAACATTAAAAATTCTTAATGTAAAGCAACAAAACTAAAATGAAAAGGCTTATTATATGAAAGTGTATACCAGCATAAACCCTTAACATTTTCCATAATTTAAAACACAGGCTCCCCCATATAGCTGCTAAATATATTAAATTTATTCTCATCTTATCTAACAAAATATTACTGATTTTTTATATAATTATTTTTATAGGGCACATGTTATTTATGTTAACATGTAATAGGTTTATTATTTTCCAAATAAATTAATAGTTTTTATATTATTTAAATTTAGAGTCCTAAACTCTAAGAAATAAGTATTCATGGATACAACCTACATAAACAAACGCTTAAGGTCTTCAACAACTAAGAATGTAAAAGGATCCTCCGACCAAAAAGCTTGAGAACCTATGGCCTAAACGTTCTCATTGTTGTCTAAAGTATGTTTACCAAGCATATGAACAGCATATGTATTTGAACAATCACATAGTAAAGTTAATCCACTAAGAGGACTATCAATATACACCCACAAGAGGAAGATACTTAAATCATCAACAGAAACATTCTTTTCAACTTGCCCTGTATGTCATAAATAACATACCCACAGGAAAAGAAGCTCTAATGTGTTGTCCCACTTATGCAGATAATTGTCTCCTGAACCAATAATAAAGAAAAATATATGCTAGCAGACATCTCTAATAAGAGCGCTATCTCCTACCAAATCAAGCTAAGCCACGTCACTCAAAGCAAAAAGCTAGAACTCAAGCTAAACAGGGCCTTAGGAAAGAAATCTTAATGACTGTACAATTTCTCAAAAACAATAAATGTGTTTTTTTAAATGCTAGGTTTTTTCTCAACATTTAGCAATATAGTGATTTCAAATATTATCAAAACTAAAAAGTATTTAAAATAGGCTCATGGAAATATTATGATATTTGTGAAAAACTGAGAACCTCTGTGAAAACATCTGAACTATCCAAGAATATAATCAATCTCAAAATTCTCTAAATCTAAAACTAAAATAGGAATAAACAATCCGTAACACAGATTTGAACAGATAATAACCAGAGCAAAAATATTCATGTGATTGTCCATTCTTTTATAAAGATAAACCAATTTTTATTTTTCAAATACAATACCACTCTACTATTTTTAATCACTTTTGCCCCTTTTGTATATGGCTATTTAAACTATTATCAGACTACTTCATTTTTACTTAAGTGCACATTTCCAAGTTAAGTTTTAGAAATTTTATTGTTTTTGTTGTCTTTTATCAACCTGAATAAACTTAATATAGTAATGTGTGATGCAGAGACATACTTACATCATACTCTGTAACTCTGCTGCAAAGCTTACAGACTTCCCTGTACTTCTTCCACTACTTGAAGTAGCAGTAGACATGGGGCTGGCTGCAGTATTATTCATCTAAATAAAAAAGAAATAAAGCTTACAAAATGTATTTAACTATAAATAAATGCATCAAAAATGGAAGCAATTATAAATTACTTCAAAAAGTATAGAAAATTTTAAATTTCTAGTTTGTTCATAAATCTGACTTGTCCATACTTAATGTTCTTTATTAAAATGAAATAGTAAAGAGGGGGCACCTAGGTGGAGTAGTCAGTTTAGCATCCAACTTTTGGTTTCCACTCAGGTCATGATCTCTAGGTCCTGGGATCAAGTCCTGCCTAGGGCTCCACTCTCAAGCACTGAGTAGGCTTGGGATTCTCTTTCTCTCTCTCTGCCCCTCCCCCTACCCATCACACTCACATGTGTGCTCGCTCTCTCTCACAAATAAATAAATCTTTAAAATGAAAGAGTAAAGAAGAAAAAAATGCTTAGTCAAATACAATATCAAAAAAGTACTCACTTAGGCGATAAACATTTTATGGAAGAAAAAGATTCATTAAAATACTTTACTAGAACCCCATGATTTTCAAAATGTGTTCCAGGGAGCCCTAACGTTCACAGGCAATACTTCAAGGAGCTTCCAGTGGTCCCAAAGCACACCCTCCCAGTTCCATCCAGAATCAGAGAACAACTCTGATTTTTCTATTTCTTGTATTAGGGTTCCAAGTAAGAGTTAATATAAAGAGTTGGACAGCTGTGAAAATATAAAATTAGAAAACCACTGCATAATCTAATTCCTATTTGAACCAAAACCTAAAATATAAATAATAAAGTTAATCAGTAGATCGGAAATAAGCATTGTGATATTTTATAATCTCATGGTTAAGTAAATCATCAATTTAAAATGTGACTTTTTCCCAATAAAATTAAGTTGATGCATAAGGGGAAAAGTAGATGCCAATCCTAATATATGCTATTTTATTTAATGCACGTGGTAGTCCCATAAACAAGAATTAGTGAAAATAATGTTAAAATAATGAAAGTAGATAAAAACCTCAATTACTCAGTAAGTGCTCAATAAATGTTAGCTACTATTTCATCTATCCATATAAATTTTGCAATATAATTTTCCTTAAAAATGATCTGCAGATTTGAATATATGATAAAGCAGTACTGTAAACTTTAAGTATACATATATATATGTAAAAAACTTTAAGTAAGTAAAGTATAACTTTAAGTAAACCAGAAGTCAGGAGTCAGACTGTCTAGGTTCAAATTCCAGTTCTGCTACCTTACTAGGACTTTGGGCAAATTACTTAACTTCTTTGTACTCCAGTTCCTTCATCTTTAAAATGGGAATAATTCCACATTCTTAGGGTTGTTGTGAGCATTTAATGAACTAATCTGTACAAAGCATTCAGAACAGCTCTTAGCACACAGTAAGCATACAATGTTAACTTATTATTGTACAGAGAAAGAATTCTTTTATTGGTCAGCTAAAAGCTTTTACATGACAAATTGAGGTTACTCTTTTTTCAGAATTGCAAGTCTCAGAAACTTGAATATTTTCACTAAACAGCCTTAACACGAATCAACAAATATTAAGTACTTAGTTTCCTTGTAAAATATTTTTCAGTACTGACATCACTACAGCTAGCAGTCATCCTAGCTCAAAAATCTGTCTTTGACTCCTTCTCCTGCACCCTATAATTGGAAAAAAAAAAAAAAAAAATTCTACTTATGTTCTTACATCCTCCCCATCTTGTTCTACTGTTATGGCCCTCTCTATAAACACTATTTATAGCTTTTCCCTTTCCATCTCAATTCATTCTTCACCTTGCTGCGAAATTTATCTTCTTAATACATCCTGTAACCTGACAGCTTCTGTGGGCAATGGAGGCTAAAACTGATACAGGAAACCCAAACCCAGGTATTTACCAAGCTCTGAGATGGAAGGACTGGGCTCCATGAAGATGACTGAAGGAAAGAAAAAAAAAAAAAAAAAAAAAAGCCACCAAAAACAACAACAACAAAACTACTATAAACCACTGCCTGAGACAGGCCATGTATAAAACGTTTGACAGAAGGCAACAGGACAGAGGCCTAAGATGAGCAGCACACTAGCAGGTTGGCTAGATCTGGAATATCCCAATATCCTACTGTGACAAGGCCAATTATCTGCCAGCGTAAGTCCTGGTCTAGTATGAGGTCCCTAAGGGCCAGAGCAAATGAAAGAGCAGAAAAGGCAAAACCTTTTACTCAAATTGAGCCTGAAAACCAAAATTCTAAAACACATAAAGAAGCTAGCACTATGAAAGACCACTGACTTTTTTTAAGCCTCATTTTTTTTTTTCACACAGACTTTTAAAATAAGTACTTTTTTCTACAAACAATATACGAAAAGAAGCATCACCATGAGAACTCAGGTTAAAAAGAAAAATCACACTGCCAAATCCAAGATTGGGGGAAGACAAACAGAAAGTGTCTAGGAACAGTCCTACAGAATCAGGACAGTGATAAAAAAGGAACCTGGCTGTCTCAAGGACCTTCAAAACGGTTTCCCTCATCCCACCAGAACCCTGGCAAATATACGATGTCCCAGAGAAAATGTTAAACTCAAAGTTCATGTATTAACCCCAACCTCCAAAAACAGTTATGACTTAAGGTGACTCATCAGACTGGAAGACATGCCAGTGTGTGGCACGATCCTGTGGCCTAATGTCCCAAGATACTGCGGGAGCAATCTGCCCCTTTTTAATTTTGCAAATCCAGTCACCCTACTTTAACACTCTGAAAAGGAGACACTTCAGAAAGTAAATTAGTATTAAAACCACAGCTCTCTTCAGTTGTCCCCCTACTGCAAATGTTTCACATCAAGGGTATTTATTGGTAAGAGGTAAAAGGTCCCAATCGTAGTTTATTATAACCGCGATCATCCTTTCACAGTGAAGTTATTTAATTTTTAAATCAAACAGGTGAATAACATTTTTCTGACATGATGAGCTGATAGCTCATTAGAATCTTTAAAAAATTATTTCCCATACCCGCATTTCATTTGATTTAGATAATTAACTTCTTAAGACATAACTTCTTTACACATCAAAGTCCTATCATCCCAATGCTTTATTTCCTTTCTCCTAGACATTAAAAAAAAAAAAAAGGTCAGTTAAAAGCAGAAGCACTCAAGTCAATTTTCTCTAATAAATACAGTTAACATGGAACTGAAAACCTACTGTAATCTTCTCAATGGGTTAATGTCCTGCAGTTGTTTTAGCTTTCAATTGAAATGCAGCTGTTTGCCATATTTTACAAAATGAATTCAGATGTGCAGATGGAGACCTAGATTATTTCAACATGCCACAGTTTAAATGTGAACCCAAAGAGTAAGTTCATCTCTGATTAATACTTATATTTAAACCTGATCATTAAGCCAAGAGCCAATACTATGTCACACCTGTAAGATCTTATTCTGGAGTAGAAAAATTGACATCTTTTATTTCAAAATGATGGAATTTAAGGATATACCTTTTCCCATACTGTAACAACAAAAAAATTTTTTTAATTGTAGTAAATTTATACATTAAAATGTGAATTAAACAAAAATGTAATGAGCATGCTATTGGGTTTCTAATCATAGCTCATATTTTGGGTGCTAAATGACCAAAGATGAAATACCATGAAACATCTTTGGCTTAAAGTACCTCCAAGAGTTGAAAACTTTATTACTAGTTATAGCACCTCAAAACAACATAAATATCTGGATTGTGAAATCCATCAGTCTACCCATTTATTAAGACAGTAGAATGTTTGATCATTTCTTCTATTACATCACTGCTGAAGAAAATTAAGTCAGCAGAGCTATATACTGATGCTGAACATAACAGTTCCAATTCCAATCACTCATAAGCTGAACATCCTACATAATATAAATTAATAGAAAACTGTTACAATCAGAACAATCTCATCTTCATAGAGCTCCAAAGGCAGGAAGCAATTATGGTTAAGCCAACACTATTATACACTGCATTCTAGTTCTGTTGTTTAAAAAAAACTCAAGTTACATCATGATACAAATTTCTCCTGCTGTGAAAAATAATACCAAATGATCATTCAACGACCGAGAATGTAAAAAATAAAAAAAAGTTAAGTGTACAAAGTGTTAAAACTTCTATACCTAGTATTTGGGATAACACAATGGTAACTCCAATATATTTATATATGCCCCATTTCAAGTGGACTTCAGAAGGTATAAAGCTCAAGAGTCCATACAATTACCTGCTAAAAGAGAAGCAACATACCATGAATAACTGAAAGAACAGATGATTCACATATAATTTTTAACTGTTTCAAAACCAACTGCAATTTTTCTGAAACTGCTAATTGTATTTTCATAACTAAAGATCATTTGTATTCACTTACCCCATATCAAATGAGTTCAGGACCTAAAATAAGATGCATCAGTCACAGCACTTCTCACACTACAGTGTTAACTATTTCCTTGTCATCAACCTGCTAACTGCTTAATCACAGGACACTGCTTATTCTGTAATTTTAATACCTAATATACTGCCTACCACTGCTGATGCTCAGTGAACGTTGCATGAATGATCAAATTACTGAGTGGTGTAATAAGGGATAGAAAGATAAGAAAGATGTATCTGTGCCATTTAGTAGCTTATAGCCTACTGAAGTTAACAGATCAGATATATTCAATGGAATGAGTTTAGATAAAGCACAAGATCCTCTAAGAGGAGCAGCTAAGACCCATTCAATTATTATGGGAAAACCGTCCTGAGATTTAATACTTGTAAAATCTGAAAATAAAGCATATTTAACTGCATTAAACAACAACAAAACCAGGTAAGTGAACAGCACATCTGAACTATCCATGTCACTGGATTACTATAAAATCAAAGTGCAGAAGTGAAAGTACATTGAAAATTATGAAGCACCATAAAAAGCAGTATGATAGCAAATATTCTTCCTTACCATTCATTGAGCAATTATTTTTCTTAAAAACTACTAGAACAGGAATAAGTACTTCCTAACCAAAATTAGTTTGATTCTAATTAGTA